TAACACTGGGGAAAGAGCGAAGTGTTGAGGGGGCTGGATCCCTTCCCGTTGCTCACCTTGTCTTTTCTTGGCAGGATGGTCACCACCCTTGATCCATCGAATTGCTCCCAAGCCATCAAGGATAATCTGTACCCCAAAGCCAAGCGGGCTTTCTCAGATCTTCACTACAAATACCTTGAATATTATGACCGGATCAGGCCATTTCTGGGTAAGCAGAAATATCAGCTGAGGAAACACCACTTGAGAGTTTGTTGAAAAACTATTTAAAATCAAGCCTTGAAGAGCCTTAAGCTGCATCTATACAAACAATATAGTCCCCACATTGGGGAGGAGGCATGTACAAAAACAGTTGAATGAATGGATGGATGAATCTAAGGGCAATGTTTAGTTGGTACAACTCACACTAGGCTGGGTTAAAACTGTGTTATGTAGTTTGTAATTCACAGCATTTTATGAGGAACAGCCATTCTCTTTATAAGTTGGGTGAACCAAGCTATTATGTTAAGCCATAACCTGGTTTATTTATTTGGGCATAGCATGTTCCTGAACATAGTCACTGTGTTTTGTTAACTCAGGCTTAGAGTTTCATAAATTGCATGAATTACACCTAAATGAAGAATTAATTCATTCTTGTTTGTTGTACAAGAGCCTAAAGCTCAAGATAGAACTGTTTCTCCAATCTGGGTTGGAAACCGTGATCCATGGCATGCATAACCTTTGCTGTGTGGAAGTGTGTGAGTCTGGAACCCTCAGATGTGTAATGTAAAACATTTTCGTGGGATTACCACACAAATACCACATTTTACCATGCTAACTTTGGGGAAAAGTGATTTCATCCCCACCATAGTTGATGAAAGCTTTATGTGGAACATGTCTGCACAAGTGAATATACATTTGTGAATCAGATAGTGCTTTTGACATCACTACTGTCATCTAGCACAACTATTTTGCCTCAGACGGAATTTTATAATTCTAAACCAATCTGTCAATTTCAGTGTCTCTATGTACTCTGTATATTCTTCAGTACAATATATGAATTGAAACATGCACTTTTTCTGCCTAATATATACATTTTGAATGGAAATAATTTTCCCAAATGTAATACATGCTTATATATTAATATTATGAGTGTATTCATTTGGGTAGAGACAAATGCAAAATTTGGAATGCAAACATAACTGTGAATGTCATAATTGAGTTTCAATTTGTTTATTTGGTTGGAAAAGGTAAAGTAGGTCTAATCTACATATAGAATGTGAACCAGATCAATGCCTCCTCCATGTTTAGTCTATACTGTCATATTTCATAAGTAATGTTTCCCTGCTCTCCCGTCACTTCTTTCATCTTGTACAGTTTTTTGTACAGTTTTTATGTTTTTTCCAATTTTATATGTATTTATTACTTTAATGGATTGTGTGAGCCGCCCAGAGTCCCCCATTAGGGGGAGATGGGTGGAGATAAATTTAATAAATAAATAAATAAATA